ATTCCGGAGCTGGGAGACACAAAGGTTAGACCTTAGGGTTCATTTCTAATTCTCTTGATTCCAGCTCGGGCTTCCCAGAAGCCTGCTTCATTTGGGTCGTTTGTAAAGAATCCCTTTATCTTCTTTGGGGTTGGTGAGGGTTCCTCCGTGGAGGGAAAAGACCTTGGGAAGCCCCATCCTCTGCCTCATCAAAGACCTCGGCATGGTCTGGCCTTGCTGGGCTGTGCTGGGCTCTGATGGAGACCAACTTCTCCAGGGAGGCTGCCCCATGTGCTCAGAGGTTCCTGAGTTGGATGGAAACTGCTCCTCTATTTGCCCTTCCTCTGTGGTCCTACTGGGTGGCTCTTGGCATGGTGGCTGAAGACACATAATCAAGACCACCCGGGTACAAATAGACAGACCACCCCGGGACCAATCCCACTTCTGCCACCGACTAGCTGTATGACCTTGGAAACGTTCCTGAACCTCTTCTTGCCTTGGTTTCCTAACTGCAACACGAGGATAGTAATGGGACCTACTTCACAGAGCAGTTATGAGCAATCCGCGAGTTAATACATGGCAAGTACTGGGAACAGTGCTTGGCACCACATAAGTTTGCTAATTGGTATTTATTCCATGGCTACCAATTGTCGCTTTTATTGTCCTTTCCCCCCAGTTGTCTGGAAGCTTCTTGGGAGTAGATCAGGCCAGTGTCTCCCATGCCCAGTCGAGCAGGCCTGGCCTTCAAGTAGGGACTTAGTAAGTGTGTGACGGATGAGAGAGAGTGTGGTCAGAGCCCTGAGCTGAATGAAGGCTCTTGAGGAAGACGCCTCGGGCCACCTTCCAAAGGTCTTCCTTGATGGCCAGCCCATGTAGATGTCAGTGATGGCCGGGGGGCTTGCTTCAAACCCAGGTCTCCTGGCTCCAGTCCTGGTCTCCAACCACAGCTCCAACCTACCTACAAGTTCCAGTAGCTGCTGCTCGTTGTTTCATAGCCAGACCTACTTCACAGAGTAGTTCTACTTCACAGAAAAGAGCGATATTAGTCCCTCCGAGGACATAGGGTGACGTCATCTCAGTCACCCCTACCTGCCCCACCTGTCCCCACCTGGCCCTACCTGTGTGTTTGCTTAAAATAAAGGAAGATGAGTCCTTCGGAAGATGAAAATGGAAAAAGTCACCTAAGAGGACACAAAATATCCTTCAAAGCGGATGAAATGTTGTATATAACATTGAATAAATATGAATTTGGAGCAAATGTGTCCTTAGATAAAGAGAAGAAAGACCCTGAGTGAGAGAAAGGCTGGTGTGAGTGAAGGCTGGTGTGGCCAAAGCAGACAGAGATGTTCTTGGCAGTAGGGTCTTCACACACTCTCACATTGACTTCACCTCATGAGGCCTCGGGGCCTTTAAACACAAGAATCCCCGGGAGTGATCTTCCTGATGCTTGTGCTGTCCGACAACCCATCCTGCGCTGGCTAGGAGTTGGGTCCCCAAGGATCTGGAGAACTCAAACCGGGCCCTAGACATCTAGGTCGCTCTCTAGATTGGCCAGCGTTCTAGAAACTTCTGATGATCCTCGAGCTCTTGACGAACATCCCCAACCCCAGCTAAAGATTCCAGAGACCCCTTCTAACTTCTACATAACGTTTTAAAATTTCAGAGAGATCATTCAGGGATTCGGAATTCTGGCAAATCCCTTCAGTGTTTCAGGATTTCTGAGAGCTGCCCCCAGTTCTAATGTTCTGAGGTACCAGAGACCATCTTAGTCTAACTCTTCTGGAGAACTTACGACCTTATTTCATGGGGCCAAAGAACCCCAAACCCCAGAATTCTGGGGAAGGCCTATAGCTTTCAGGGTTCCAGGCGTGTCCTCTACAATTCACACATTCTCAGGAAGGACCACTGGATTCGAAGATCCTGATACGTTACTGGGTCCCATGGAATTCCTAGTGCTTAGGGGTCTGGACAAGTGGCAGTTCTAGAGTGAGCCTGTGACTGGGAGATGGGGGAAGTGGAGACTTATCCCCTTGCGTCTTGTGTCTGTCTATCTCTGGGAAAGTAAGTGGGAGCTTTGCTGAGCTGGAACTAGGAAACTGGAAAATCGTGGCTGGTTCCAATGGGAAAAGGAATCATCCAAACACAAATGAACCGGCAACAGCCAGGGTCCCCCTGGGTGGTCCCTGTCCACCCTCCCAAGGCAGCTAAGGAAAGTCTCACGCTCGGTGCCAGGGGCTTTCCCTGCCTGAGGCCGGAGACCTCCCAGCAAGCAGGGCCACGATACAGAGAGTAAGATAAGGGCTCTGGGCAGGGGAGGAGCCCAGGCTCACACATACGGAGCCACCCAAGCTGATGTGGCATCAAAATGACCTAGAGCAGGAAAAGTGACTTTGTGGCATGTCAGGCTCATCCTCCCCCCCTCCCTCGGGCCTCTGCACAAATGTCACCTGCATGAGACCTTTCCTGCCCCTGATGTAGAGCTGCACCTGCCCTGGCCGAGGGGCCTCCCCTACTGTTTTGCTCCACAGCATTTATCCCTGACCTCCCACATATGTTGCCCATTTTCTTTTCGTCCATGAGGATAAGGATCCTTATGCTTTGTTCAATGCTGGCCCAAAGTGGGTTCCCAATAAATATTGGTTGGATTATTAATTTTTAAAATCCAGACGGTCAATTCCATCGAATTGTCTTGTTGACTACAAGTTGCTTTTGGTTAACTCGTCTGCAATAGGCAAGTCTTCGTGATGTCCTCCTCCCACATAGCAGTGGATTTAATCCCCGTGACCATCCCGAGAGGGGCTACTACTGTGTCCATTCCGCAGATGAGGCCACTCAGGCTCAGAGCAGCTAAGCCACCTGCCCGGGATCACTCCTGGGTAAGTGATGACGCCGGGATTTGAACTTGTGGGCTTAACCACAGCTACCTCTGTCTGGCCCAGCTGCCTGTGGCGTCTGCCGTTACCTCACCGCCCTGGGCTCTGCCTCCATGGTCACTGTCCGTCCACAGTTTTCACTGTTAAATACAAGTCTTGCCTTTCGATTCCTGGCTGCTGGGGACTCCAACCTGGGCTGACCCTGCTGGCCCATTTCAGGGACCAGCCCTGCAGAGACTCAGTCAGAGGCCCTACAGTGTGGACAGCTCAGAGAGGCCAAGTCGCCTGCCCCAAGTCACACAGCAGGCTCAAGTGTCGCTGTGAGGCGCCTTGCTTTAGTCTGTGGGTCCTCACTTCTCTTGGGGCAGGAGAGCATAATTAGGGCTATTTCCCAGCATGGTGGGTAGGCGAGCACTGGGTGTTTTCTTGCTTGGTCTTGCACTGGGCAGTGGGGTGGGAGCAACGGGACTTGTTTTCTCGGGCCATGCCTGTGGGCAAGCCTGAGCATTCTCCAATGACTGCCACCCCCTGCTTAGGGCATCCCCGGCTCCCTGCTCCTTCCCAGTGCTCCCCAAGCCCGTGGCTGAAGCTGGCCTGCTTGAGGCCTCGCCAGAGCCCAGGGTCCAGGTCTCAGGGGACTCCGACACGAGGCCCGGCTCAGGTAGTTCTGGTTGAGGAGTTTCATCGCCTCCCTGCACTGGTCATGTTACTGGTCCCCCTGCCTCCGGCTCACCATCACCAATCAGTCCACCTGCCACAGTGGCTAGTGTGACCCAAATGCAGATCTAAGCTGGTGACTCCTCAGGACCCCTCTGTGGCTCTCCTCTGTCCTCGAGACAAGCCCAAGCTCCGGATGTGACCCACAAGGCCGTGCTCTGCCTGCTGCTGGCCACCTTTGGAACATCAGGGTCTCTGGGCCTTTTCTCCACAGCCCCTCCCTCCACCTGCTGTTCACCTTCTGGGCCTTTATCATAGCTCTTCGGCAAACCTTCTTTGACCCCCTCAACAATTTCTGAGTGGGGGGCCTTCCTCCATGCTTCCCCTTCAAAGCACATCTGTCCCCCACCAGACTGTGAGCTCCCTGGTCAGAGCCAGCTTGCTCCTTGTCAGTCTTTTCACCACCTTGATTTGGAGTGGATGCCGGTGGTGTTCCTGAAAGAGTGAGTTTCAGAACCAACCAAGGAATTAGCCATCTGGGCCTCAGTTTCCCTAACTGTAAAATGGGACAGTTAGGTTAGCCGTGTGGCTCTTTTTATAATGAGGTCCTCCCACTGGCACCTCCAATTTCTCATGTCATGTCCGGGCTTCCCCTTAATTGTAGACCCACTGCACCCTGCTAACCATGTACCAGGAGTCCTGAGGTTCCTCACCTCCCTGACCCTCACTAGAGCTCAACAGGACAGGGAACCGTGCCCCCCATCCGACTGACTGAAAACCAGAAAGTGGTCTGGGGAGGGTGCAGGGCTTGCTCAGGATCTCAGAGACCTGTGGCACCAGAACGCAGGGCTCATGCACCAGGCCCTGCACCAGGCTCATGCCCCTGCACCAGGCCACGTGCAGGGGCACAGAGACGCAAGCCCTCAGCCCGCCACCTGCCCCAGCTCAAGGCCAACTCCGTTTCCTTCAGGTCTCCTTCCTGGAGGCGCTCATCATTCGATTCCCCATGCTGTCCCAGTGGCACATAATAGTCGCTCAATTAAAATGCGTGTAATACAGGAAAGGAGATGGAACCTGGAATGTTCCTGATCAGAAGGGGACACACACTGCCAAGAGTCCTTGCCTTCTCCTCCTCAGGCTCCCCCGAGAACCCCTCGTCTGGGATGTCCCCATGGGAAGTGGGACTACCCAAAGGACAGGACCAGCCAGGCTGAGCTGAGGCCTCTTTATTGTCATGTACGTTTCGTCACCTGCTGCCTGGCTTCTCCTGAATCCAGTCTCATTACTCATAGTCTGGGGTGGCACCCTCCTTTTACTCCCCCAAACGGCCCTCCAGCCGTCACCCTGACCCTCAGGAATGGTCCTTGCCCAGCCAGGCTGCAGAATGGATGGGCAGCTGCTATCCCCATTTAATAGATGGAGAGACTGAAGCCCCAGAGCAAAGAGCCCGGCCGAAGGTCACACGCAGTCTCCTGTGTTTCCATTTTGCGCTCAGCAGGGAGGGAGGGCTCGGCTAGGGGTCCGTTTGCTCTCATGCGTGGGTGGCTGGCTCCGGCCCCGCCGCAGGGAGCTGCCGATCTGGTCTCTGAGGGCCTCCAGTCTCCGGGCCAGGTTTGGAACCGTGGCCCCACCTGAGGGGTACGGGGACACTCGAGGCCTGCACTACCCTGGGGTCATCAGGTCCCAACATCCTCTGGGGAAGCTTCAGATGGTACCTACTCGCCCCTGCCCCTCCCCCACCCCCCACATACACCCTGGGCTTTGGTATACATCTGGGCGTGAAGGTGGCCCTAGGAAGAGAATTCCAAGTTTGGAAACTAGAAAGATCTTAGGAATTAACCTCCTAACATGTGCCCTATTTCAGAAATGGAAAGACTATGTTCCGGAGAGGGTGCGTTCTGGCCCAAGATCACAGAAAACCCCAGGGGCTCCTCCCTCTCCCTTCTTCACCTCTCAGCACTGGCGACGTGTTCGGGGGCCCCGCGGGCAGGGGAGGTGCAGAAGGTACCACCTCCTCCTCGGTGAGTATCTCCGCCAGGACTCGGGTCTGAGTCCAGTCGCTGTGACTCCTGCGCCAGGGGCAGTTGGGTGGTGGGAGGTGAGCCTTCAAGTGCCCAGGCCTCCTGCCCTCCCACCCCAGTGCCCCAGGCTGGGCCCACCTCTCTCTGGAGCACTTGGCAGAGCCAGGGCTGCATGGGGGCACCCAGGGTGGGGGCCGGGCAGACGGGGGAATGCCGTCGGGGGCCTTAGGGCCAAACACCTGCAAGAAAGACCACAGCCAGCACTGGTGACCTCAGCCCTGCCTCTCTGTGCCCCACTTCCAGGTGCTGATCATAATACCACCTGCCCCAGGTGGCACCAACACTGCCAGATGGGCATAAAGGGGTGGGGTGTTGGTTACTTCTGTGGACAGAATCCTCAGTGCCCAGAACAGGGGCTGGTACAAAGCAAGGAGGTTAGAGGAGAGTCAGTGAGCGAGAGAGTGAAGGAGTGAATAAGCAAATCCATAAATGTGAGTGAAGGAGTGAATAAGCAAATCCATAAATGAGCAGCATGTGAGTGAAGGAAGGAATAAGCAAATGCATAAATGAGTAGCATGTAAGTGAAGGAATAAGCAAATGGCAGAGCGAGTTCCTAAAAGAAGGCAGGAAGGAAGAGGGAGGCGAGGTAAACAGTGATTCTGAACCCTGGGCAGAAGGAGCCCAATCAGCCACTTTCCCCATGGCCTCCGGCTCTCCTAGACTCCCCGCACCCCCACCGTGGCCTTTCCTACCTGGGGCAGGTGGAGCTCCCTCCGTGGGCAGGCCCAGTGGGCCAGTGGGGCTCGGCACAGGGGGCAGAGGTGGCAGCAGGGGCAGGAGCAGAGGGGTGGCAGGGCCTGCAAGAGGGCATGTCAGAGGCTCCCTGTCATCCCTGCTCCTCCCCCTTCCGGCTGGGCAGAGACTCACATGGCAGGAGGGAGCTGGCACCATCGCACAGGGACATGGTGGGGCTGGGCCAAAGGGGGGCTGGTGGAGGTAGCAGGTAGAGAGGAGGCGCCTGGAAAGAACAGGGGGTCTGTGCCTGCAGCCCTCCACCCTACCACCAGGCTGGTCCCCACATCCCCCGTTTTAACAAACACCCCTGGGCACTACGGCGTGCCAGGCACCGTTCCCAGTGCTCAACATATGAACTCATTCGATCCAACCTTTAAAACAGCCCTATTCGGTGGGCACCGTATCACCCCCATGTTACAGCGGAGGAAACCCGGCAGTGAGAGGCGCATGACTCACCAAGGTCACCCAGCTAGTAGGCGCCAGAGCTGGAATTGGAACCCAGGTGGTCTGAATCCAGTGGTCAGACTCTTAACGGTTCCCTTTCCCACCTGCCCGCTGTCCCAAGGCCTGTCCCTGGGCTGGTGGCCGTGCTCACCGCTCCAGCTCGTGGACCTGCTGGGCCAGGACGCGCTGCTCATCCCGGGCCAGGTCCCGGCTACTCTGCAGCTGGCTCTTTTCCTTCCTGGGAAGAGGGGGCCCCAGGGAGGTGACAGGAAGCAGGGCTGGTGGGGGTATCAGTCAGCCCCGCATTGCAGGGCAGTATGAGCCCCCGCAGGTAGGTGGGGCCAGAACGGAGTCAGGGAGCGGGGAGGGGGCCACTTGGCAGAAGCAGCCCAGCAGTGAGGGGTGGGCACGGAGTCCCCTGGCGAGGCCCTACCTGAGCCTCTCATTCTCCAGCATGAACTCCTGGAGCATCCCATAGAGGTTCTGCTGGGCCCAGGCCACGCGGGTCCCACTGAATCCAGGGGCTGCAGGGAAGGGGGAGATGGCTGGGTCCACAGGAGCCCAGATGCTCTCCACGTCCCACCTGCACCCCCAGGGAGCTCATACCCTTAAGGTCCATCTGGCTCAGTTGGGACCGTAGAAGGCGGTTCTCCGCCTGGAGCTGCAATATCTCCGTTTCCAGGCGCTGGGGCTGCTTTGCCATAGGGGACTGCAGAGAGAGGGGCCCGGAGCTGCCACCTGCAGTGGCACAAGTCGTGCAAGGGCTCCGGGAGTGGGGAGTGAGGGAGCCTAGAAACCAGCCCATGCTTCCCTCACAGGCTTTGCATCCTGGCACAAGGCTACGTCCACCTGGAGGGGCCACCTTGTCCCAATGCATCGAAGTGCCTATGGCCTCTGCTGCGTGCCAGCAGGGCCCCCTCTAAGCTGGACCCTGCTCCAAGCCCAACCCAAAGTAAGTTCTGTTCAAATCTTGGTTCAGAACCCAAACAAGACTCCACATCAGACCCCAACTCAACTCAGGCTTAATCATGATACCACTTGGGATCCAGGCTGGACCCTGAATCATATCCCAAATCAGACTCCAACCTGAGACCTGCCACAACTCTGACCGTGACCCTGACCCTGACCCATCCTACCCAGTCATGGCCCCATCATCAAGATTTCAACTCTCATCCTAACTCTGACTCAATCCCAGATTTCAACTGTGACACCAACTCAGGTTCCAACTACTGCCTGACCCAACCATCGCCCCCGCCACCCCTCGGCCTGTGTCTGCCTCCATTCACCTTGGGGGCCTGCGGCCGAGTGGTGACCCGCTGAGCTCGGCTGGCGTATCGCAGGGTGCTGAGGGTCTCAGGGAGGCACTGGGCTGAGGGCGACACGCAGGCCACCTGGGGAGGATGCCCCTGAATGTTCCTCTCTGGGAGCCCCTCCCTCAAGCCCCACTCTTCCCTGCCAGCCCCCCTCAGGTACCATGAGGGTGACCCCGCGCCCCCCCAGTGAGTCCGCCAGCAGCTTCGTGAGCTTGCTGTCTCGAAAGGGGATGTGGCTTTGCTTCCGCCGCGGGTCCAGCAGCAGGGAGATGCAGTGGCCTGGGTGGGAAGAGAAGGTCCAGCGAGGTTATACCCCTTGCCCAAGGCCACGCAGCTGGTCTGTGCAGAGCAGGGACCTGCACCCACACCCCAATGCCCAACACAGGGCCTGGCTCTCAGCAGGGGCTCAGGAAATGTCTGGCAAAGGGACTGAATGAAGAGGCTCCTCAGCACGTGGCAGAGGAAGGCCCTCAGGGGTGGAGGTGGGAGACAGGTCTGTCCCCTCTTCCCCTTGCTGGGCCTCCGCTTTCCCAACTGCACGAGGATGGGCTCATGCTCTGCACTTGAGGGTGCTTACCTCCCAGGTTAGAATGCAGCTTTATTCTAATAGAATCAAGTTTATGGGGTTTCTAGATTCATCAACAATGTTCTAAGAGGGGAGACACGAGTCAACAGCAAGCTGAGGCTGGAAGGAGGCCTGTGGCCCCTGGCTCACAGCTCTTCATGCACTACAACCCCTGTCTCCTCCTCCTCCTCCCCTGCTCCCCTCTTCCCGCACAGCTACAGGCCGGGCAAGAGGAGGGACTCACCCAGCGCCAGCAGGCTGCGGTTGATGCTGTTGGCCTCGAGCATCAGCTCCCCACGGGATCCGGTGGCCGCCACCTTCTCGCTGCCAGCCAGGTCTACAAAGCACAGCTTCCCTCCGGCAGGGTGTTCCCCGGGATCCACAGGAGGCATCTGCTGGGACTGGGGGTCAGGGCTTGGTTTCCACTACGTCCTCCTGTGCACACCCGAGTTGCTTTATACACCCTGAGGCGGACCCTGGCTGAGGACCCGGCGCCAGCTCCTTCCCCAAGCTGGGCCACTCACGGTTTGGCGGCGGATATGGAGTGTGAGCAGGGCATGGCTTCGGCTGGAGGCCTGGTTCAGGGTGTGAGCTGAGCTCCTTCGGCGGCTAAGACCTGGAGGGGGAAAGCAGCAGGAGCTGGACCTGACAGGAGGAGCAATAGCAGAAAAGGAGCAAAGGGATCCTGGGGAGGGAGGGGCCAGCCTGTGCAAAGGCGGCGGGGAAAGAATGATGGGATGTGGGGTCCGGCTCTATCACGAGCAGGTGAGAGGGGAATCGACAGAACTGAGTGGAAGAATGTCAGTCAGAGTCACAGTTGATAAACATCCCTCAAACGGCTGTGTGAAGGGCGGAGAGCGAGCAGAGAGATCAGCTGGCAGAACGCTGGCAGGAGCCTGGAGTCTCACCCAGGACCAGCCAGCAGGCTGCGGGTGAATAATGAGATATCTCATAAACATTGGATGAATGAATGAGACTGGAACAGAGGGGCCCTATAGACTAGGTTATAGGAGTGACCTTTGCCCTCAGGACATTGGAAGGGTCTGGAGGGTCTGGAGGGGAAGAGGGATGTGGTTTGCCGCAAGGAAGAGCACAGATTGGAACGGAGGAGCCTTGAGTTGGGAAGATTTCTCTAGGAAGAAAAAAAAAAAAAAAGAGGCTGACTGAGGCAGAGGTCCTGGACTGGAAAGAGGGTGGGCCCAGAAAGAGTGTGAAAGGCAGAATCAGCAGGAGGTCTGGGTGGGATGGGGGACATCCTTGGACGGTGTCTGAATTGTTGTTTTGCTGGCCCTTAGCTCTCACAGGGGTCATCTCTGGTCACCCACAGCTCCAGCCAGGGGCTCCAGTGCATTCAGTGAGCAGTAGAGGGACGGGCTTCCCTTGTACCCCCAAAGCTCCCGAGACAGCACTCACCCATCTGCAGAAGTTCCATCAGGGCCCCTAGACTCCCAAACTCCACCACCCGCAGCTGCTCCACATAGAAGCCCCGAGTCTTGTTCCAACGAACAGGGAGGGGCCGGGGAGACCCCAGGCTCAGCAAGTCTAGAACCTGGGAGGTGAGGGTGGCGTGTGAGGGAAGGGGCCCGAGTCCAACCCTTACCAACACCAGCCCCCCTCTACCCCCCCCCGCCCCCACTCTGCCCCTCGCCCCAAGCTCCTTGGGAAGCAAGGCCTCCAATCCATTGTGCGCTTTCATTCATCTCCGTCCCCACCTGCTCATTGTAGATCTCCAGGTAGGAGGCGTGGAGGGTGACCGGGGCGCCCAGGTGCTGCACACGGTCCAACAGCCAGGCAAAGGTCCTCTGCATGATGCCAGCCAGGCTGGGGGGGTACAGGCACCCCCTCTCCCTGGGGACAGAAACACGACCACGGTAATAACTACCCTTCCTGGCGCCCTTAGCTACTATGCCTCAGGAGCTAGGCCAAGTTCCCTATAACATCTCATTTACTTCTCACAGTCAGTACTCTCGCTTCCATTTCACAGATGAAGGCTCTGAGCTTGTCAGCAAAAGGCACAAAATTTGCCCTAGCTGGTTTGGCTCAGTGGCTAGAGCGTCCACCTGGGGGACTGAAGGGTCCGGGTTGGATTCTGGTCAAAGGTGGACACACCCTGCCCCCCCACCCCCTTTGTGGACTCTATCCCCAGTAGGGCATGCAGGAGGCAGCCAATCAATGACTCCCTTTCATCATTGATGTTTCTCTCTCTCTCCCTCTCTGAAACCAATAAAAAAACATATTTTTTTAAAAAGGGACAAAATTTGAAGTCCATATTAGGCAAATCCTTTCACCTCTCTGGGCCTCAGTTTCCTTGTCTGCAAATACATGGGGCTGAGTCACACTGTCCAAGGCCCTCCCTGTGGGAGCCTGAGCTGTCAGTGGCTCCCCACCGACCCCTGACCCTGCAGGGGAGCTCAGCCCACCTGGGGAGGAGGCCCCGTGAGGGTGTAGGTCTTCCCGGAGCCGGTCTGGCCGAAGGTGAAGACGGTGCAGGAGAAGCTGCGGGCGGCAGGGGTGTGTGGCTGGATCTGGGCAGCGGGCGTGGTGGCGGGGGGGCGGAGCGGGGGCAGGCAGGGCAGTGCTGGGGTGCGGGGCATCCCCAGGGCCTCACTCACCCGCGCAGCGCCAGCTCCCCGAGTCGCCGCACACCGCTCGCCCGGAACACGTCCTCCTGGGTGCGCGCCCCGTCCAACACGGCACCAAAGCGGAACGCCACGTCCGGGCCCCCGCCCGGGGGGCTCACCTGATGGAGGGGGCGGTGGAGAAGGGGGCGGGGCCGGGCCGGGGAGGGCGGGGTCTGGGGCGGGGCCAGGGAGGGCCAGGCCTGGACAAAGTTGCCTGGGGGGAGGGAGGTAGGATTTTTAGGTTCTGGGGGTGGGGGGGGTTCTTCCCCCACAGAGTCCTGGGGCCCGAGCAGTGTCACGACGTTCAGTTCTCATGGGGTGCAGTTTCGCAGGGCTATGAGACGCATCCTGGGGTCCGGCGGGAGGGTTGTATGTTCCATCCCGATGTCTCCATCCGGCCCTTCCTCTCTCAGGCACAGCCTAGGCAACCTACTCCCACCTGAGCACCACCTGGATGGGCGTTTCCAGCCCCTCGAGGCCCTGCTGCAGGCTCCGCGCGAGGTCCCTGTGGCAGCATGGCGAGTTAAACTGTCCTGTGCCCAGCGGCCTCGGACCTCCCAGAATCTCCGCTTACCCATCGGGGGATCCCCGCTCCTCCATGTCCTGCTTTGCTCACGGAGTTAGCTCTGCTCCCGTCTCGTTCCTTTCCCTCCCCACCACCCTCCCTTCTCCACACTGGGACTGGCTGTGCACACCTACATCCCCCACCCCATCCCCCCTTCCCAGGCAGTCATCCATCCGGAAAGGCTCGGCCTGCCCCGGGCGCTAGTTAAAGATTTACCCAGCCTCACCTCCGTGGTGGAGAGTCTCCCAGCGAGGGACCCCAGCTAGGGGGTTCTGGAGTCTGAGGATCCCTGGCTCTTGCCCAGTCCCATCAGGAGGGACCACCCAGACCAGCCTCCTCTGTGTACAGATGGGGACACTGAGGCAGGGATGGGAAGGCCGAATGGCAGAGCCTGGACCAGGCTCTTCCTACTCTATCCACATACTCCTCCAGGTTTGTCATCTTCCTCCCTCCACCCCGCTCCCTAGCTCAGGCTTCTTCACTTCCCAGGGCCCAGGGAGGGGAGAGGGGGGGGGGGGCAGGTCTCAGCTCTAGGAAGACCTGCCGGATTTAGTTCTTGACTGAGCTGACAGAAGGGCCCAAAGCATCTGGTTAAACATTGGGCCACCTGCTTCTCCAGTGCCAAGGCTGACCCCAGGCCAGGACTGCTGTTTGTCCCTGGCCTGGTCTGGCTTATGAAAGCAGCAGAGATATCTGTGAATGAGCTGGGATGGGGCACTTACCCATCCAGTGCCAGCCTCCATGCAAGGCACTGGGCAGGAATCCCCTAGTCTTGCTAGGGAGTCAGGTAAGTACTATCTAGGGTGCAGGGGCTTTGCAGGAATTCCGAGGCCTGTGGGGGCAGGAAGTGAGGGTAACAGATGAGGGCGATAGGGCTTTTTTTTTTTTTTTTAGCAGGAAGGATCCGTAGGGAGAGTTAGGGAAGAGCCAAGAGCTACCTGTCTGCGCTAAAATAGCAGAGAGTCTTGGGCAAGTCATTTCCCTTTTCTCACCTGTTTCCTTCCCGTAAATGGAGATGAATGATTTTACTTAGTTGTTCTGAGATTCGGATGAGACAGCGTACAGACAGACGGCCCCTGGCTTACAATGGCTCAACTAAGGATTTTTTGACTTTACAATCGTGCAAAAGCAATAGGCATTTAGTAGAAACTGTACTTTGAATTTTTCAGCTTGATCTTTTCCCAGGCTAGTGATGCGCACACAGTGAGGTGCTTTCTCATGGTATTGGCAGCAGCAGCGGGCGGAGCTCCCGGGCAGCCACACAATCACGAGGGCAAAGACTCATCGGCACTCTCCAGTATAGTATTAAATGAATTTTAGACGTCATAGATTTTCAATTTACTGTGGGTTTATTGGGCCATAACCCTATCATAATTCGAAGAGTGTCTGTATTGGAAAGTGATTCGTAAATTGTGAAGATTTACCTAAAAGCCAAAAATAAAAATCCCTAGATGATCTTCAAGATTCCTTTCAACTCGGAAGTTCCTTAACCTATTATATATTTTTAAATCCTAGGGCAAGCATTACTAGTCCTGTTTTTCAGATGAACACACACACACACACACACACACACACACACACACACACACACGAAAGCAGAGGTAAGGCAGGGCAGGCTAAGGAGAAAGCAGCTGTAAGTGGGAGGTGGGGTTTAAGCCGGGAACCTCGAGCTCTAAGTTCTGGTGCTTTCTACCTGTCCTGGCAGGCTGCCTTTCTAGGTGTGAGTGAACAGTTGCTCCCTTAAATGCCCTTAAAGGGGTTAAGAACTATGGGTCATTCACATCTTAGTGTGCGTTGGTTTTATCAGTTTGCTGTCTGCCTCACACTGGACTGAGATGAGCCACACCGAAGCGATTTGGAGACAAGTGCAGGGACAGGGAAGATGTGCATATTGGGGTGTGATGAGCTGTTTGTGGGGACGTTTGCACTAGGCTCCCCACCTGAGTCAGAATGTGTGCACCACTGGATGCTCTGAGCCTGCCCTCTATTTCCAAACCGCACTTTTCATCCAGAACGGCTGGTCCCGTGGTTGAGACAGAGGAAAGGCATTTGGGGGAAACTGCAGAGAAATTTAGAAGCTGGCTGGACCCCACAGGGGTGTGTCTCCAGGCCTCGCTAGAGGGCAGCAGAGTACCGCGCCTCCATGGCCCCAGGGCTGCTCACAAAAGAGGCTTTGTGAAGTGCGGCCATGCTCTTTCCATACATTTTTTGCTGAGCTCGAGCACTGTGCAGGGGCTAACCAGCCTGATGCTGTGGAGAGGGATGAGCAGGCCCACAAGAAATGCTCCTTGAGGGAGTGAATGAAAGCCACATTGAGCAACCAGGGACCCTCCGTGCACGCCCCTGCTACCGGTTCCAGCCTCTTCAATCCACTCCTCCGGTCAATCCCACTTATCCTCCCGGGGAAAACCCTGCCCTGACTCTCTGGGACTCAGAATAAGGACTGAGTTCCCCCAATGAGCCTCAAGCTCGTTCGGACTGACTCTATGTTCTGCTGACCCCTCTGTTGTCCCTCTCCACTACCCACCGCCCTCCATCCCTGCATCCTGTGCTCCAGCCCAAAGCTTGCCTGGGCTTCCCTTTAATTCTTCTACATTTGCTCCTGTTGTCCCCTCTGCCGGGAAGGCTGTCTTCTGCCTGGTGGGCTTGTCCTGCAAGCCTTCCCATAGAAAGCCTTGCCCATCACGCTCTTCCCACCAGGTCAGGTTGGGGTTGTGTTTGTCCCTGCCGCCTCCTGGGACTGTTCAGTGCTGAATACACTAGGTTGGTCTTCCTGTCTGTTGGGACCAGGGACTGTGCCGGCTTCAGCACCGGGCCCTGCACCCAGTAGGAGCTCAGCAAGTGTTGGTTGGACAAGAGAAGGAGCCAGGAAGGAGGAAGGGAGGCTGGCCATCTCTCTCCAACTGCCATCTCTCTTCCCTCCTGCCTCTCAATGCTAACCACAGACACTTACCTTTGTGATGTAAGGATTCCTCCAGGGACTCATTTTTCGTGGAGATCGTCAGCCCCTGCCACAAAGCTGCTCTCCAATGTGCCCAGAATCCGGGTGACACTCTCCCAGCCCCAGCCAAGCCCCCAGGTGAGTCTGGGGCTCACCTGCCAGACAGCCTTGCACTGGACTGAGGGGGGACAGAGATGAATAGAAAGATCGGGGAGGAAGGCAGTTCTTTCCTCCTGTGGCCCTCATCTTTCATCGTTCCATTTGTACCCCCGGTGGAGGCAAAGCCAGATGGATCCAAGGCCAGTTGTGAAATTTTCCAAACAGAGCTTGCTGTAATCTTTAATTAAAATGTGAATTTAGGCCATAGGACTCATTACATAAAATTCTCCAAAGCAGGCACCATAGGGAATCATTGAGTGTACTCCTCTCTGGTCCCCTACCCCCATTTTACAGATGGGAAAACTGAAAGGAGGGGCGGTACAGGCTGCAGCTGCACTGGCATTCATGGTGAAGAGCAGTGATTTGGGGAAGAAATGGAGAGAGTCACAGCAACCCATGGGCACTCCTGGGCCACTCTTTCCCCTCAATGCCTGGCTCCTCCCCGCTGCATCCTCACGAGGCTTCTCTGGTGTCTGAGGGGTGCTGGCGGTCATGCCAGGCTTCCTGTTCAGCAAGCAGCCGTGCGAAGGTAGAGAGCCTCTCCCAAGGCCCAGCGTAAGGCCCGGCACAGAGGCACACCCACTGACGGTCTGTCTGATGGAGGACGGTCCATGCAAGAGGAAATGATGCCTTGAAGTCAAGTTCATCTTCTGGTGAAGATGAGCGTCCGTGGAGGGTTGTGAAATCAAAGGACTCAGGGTTGTTGAACTCCCAGTTGTTTTCAGGATCTCAGCTCTTCTCCCTGGAAACATAAGCAACTTTCCCCTGAGTCAGTGTACCCACTGGTCAACCAGGAATGACTTACCTATGAGCTGGATATTTCCCTCTAAAAACAATCATTTTAATGTGCAAGAATGTTAAGGGGTATTAAGGACCCTCTCTTGCACAATGATGCCTCATGTGTCTGGAACCTTCTGAGTCAGAGGAATGGGAGTTAATATTTATCGAACACTTGAGCACTTTTTCCTACTTCACTTTAATTACTTTTTAAAGCAGCCCTCTGGGACTGGCACTACAACCATTCCCATTTTACAGATGAGAAAACTGAGGTTCAGAGATGTTCAGTAATTTGCCCAAGGTTACACACCCACTCAGTGATGTGGGAATCTGACCGGCGCCAAAACTTGTGTCCCATCCTCCACTCTCTGCAGCCCTTTTCTACGAGCTGTTCTGCACAGCTGAACTTGGGTAGCTGAAGTTGACCTGTTAAGTACACACTTGCCTAGTTTAGCCATCTCTGTGGAAACATGCTCCCACGTCGGCTACCGCACTGCCCTGCCTTCTTCCCTGGGGATACTTTAAGGCAGTGGAGCTCCACCCCTGGCATCAGAATCACCTCGGATTCCAGCCCCTGCCTCCAGGGGTTCTGGGTCATTGGTTGGGGAGTGGGCCCAGGTGGATCTAATGCACAGCAGGCCGACAGCTTCAGCTTCCCATTTTTCTTGATGATGGAAGTCATCCCATCCAGTGTGTGTCTCGGGCTATCTCCTGAGAGTGATTTCTTAGATCTCGATGGGCATTGTGAGACCTTCTGTCTGCTTTTTCTAGTGCACCCACCTTTCTGATGAGCCATCTCACTGTGGTCCCTGAAGTCCCTCTGTTCATTTCTAGCTTGGGATCTACTGAGAACTCATAGGCTGAACAGGGCAGAACGGCACACAGGTCCTGCCTGTCCTGACCAGGGGATCCATTAAGAGTTTTCCAGATTTTTCTTCCTTTCTAGTTTTCTTCTACACGGGTGACAGTAAGCTGTCCAATGTGGAGGATGCCACTGCACATTCAGTTGGAATGTTAATTTAGCACACCCAAAGCACCCACTATATGCTGGGTCACAAACTAGGTGCTAACAATCCACGGCCTTGTTTCGTTGTGAGCACAGAGTGGCTACCTCCTCTCCCAGGAAGCCCTCCTGGATTGGGATGGGACCGTCCTCTGTGGACCCACACCCTCCAACACCTACCGCCCATGACCTTAATCCATTTGGTGGTGGTGGGGAGGAGGGCATCCACATCTGTCTGCTTCAGAGAACTCTAAGCTCTCTGAAGGCAGGAGCTAGTCGGTGAATAAGGCCATACCTGTTCAAATGGTAGCAGCTGGACCTAAGTGCCATGGGAGCACAGGCGAAGAAAAGGAATTTTGGTCAGAGAGCAAGAGCTGGGGAATCTGGGAAGGCTTCCTGGAGGAGGTGGCATCAGGACAGGTTTAAAAAGATGGTTAGAAATCAAGGCAGAGAGAAGAGAGAAGAAGAGCATTTCAGGCAAAGGGGACAGTATAAACAAAGGCCCAGAGGTGGGACAAGTTGAGGAGCAAACTGTTGCTTAGTGGGATGGAAGATCAGGAAGGTTGGTGGGACCATACTCCAAACTGCCCAAAGCCGAAGCCTTCATAGAAGCCTGGGGCACGGTCCGGGCTAGGAACTTGTCTTCACTCACTGTTCTGGAGAAGCAGAGCCGGGGGATGCCCGGGAGCCCCCTCCTGTGATTATTCTGGCTCTTCCCAGGAAAATACACCCACCTTATCAGCAAGGAGGACACTGCGTTCTGGAGGCCTGGGTGGGTGCCAGGCCCCACTGCTGACTCGCTCCTCTGGCCGCTAAGGACCTGGAACGCAGGCAGGGCTGGGGCTTCCACATCAGCCCGAGCCCTTAGAGCTGGTCGCTAGGGAGCAGCGGGAAGCATGTCTCCCAGCTCGAGTCTTCATCCCCTGCTCTGTCACTCAATGGAGACACCCCCTCCACCCACACCTTTAATACAACGGGAAGTGTTCACCCCAACCACAAGCTCTTCTGTGTGCATTGCACCGTACAGTGTACAAAGCTCACACATCTATCCTGCTTCTCACACTAACCCTAGAAGGAATGATGAACTCCATTGCACAGATAAAGAAACTGAAGCTCAAATTATTCAGGCAGCTTTTGAAAGGCTCTTGAGGAGTCAGTGGCAAATGCAGGATTTGAACCAACCCCTCCTACCTCCAGAAGCCTGAAAGTAGGAGCCTCCCAGCTGGAAGAATCCAACAGGCCTCCCTTGGGACAGCCCTCCTGCCCTGCTCTGCCCAGCCACCCCAGCCCCTGTGGTGGGCAAGCCCACAGCCCCAAGGGGCGGGGACAACTGGTTATTTCCAGCCTGGTACTTAAGGGCTGGCCAGGCAGTGGGGTGTGGGCTGGTAGGAGGGCTCTGTGCTCCCAAGAGGGTCTGGCCTTTGGCTGCTGAGACCTAGGCAGGGGGTCAGGGATTTCTGTCCAAGCCGCCTGGGCTAGCCAAAGCTGGGCAGGTTTCCCAGGAGAGGGGAGGCCTCCCCCTCCCCCAAAAGGTAAGATATAGGTAGCCAAGACGCACACAGGCAGCTCATTCAACCCCCTCCAGCTCAGCTGACCCTGCTCTGGGCTGCGGCCCAGGCTGCAGCACTGCTCCTGCTGCTCCTGAGAGATGGAAAGAGCAGACGGCGGTCCCGATAGGGGCCTAACGCAGCCACGGGGGCCTGGAGATCAGTTAAGAGCAAACGTTATGCTCTGAGCACTTCCCTTGTGCCATCCTCCCTCCCAGCAGGTCTGCAAGGTGGAGATGACCACCCCTCTCCCACTTGAATGAGAAATGCTATTGCCGCACACACTGACCCCCTTTCAAAGCACCCAGCATTGCCTTCGCACATGCTGTTCCCACTGCCCGGAGTGCCCTTCCTTTAGGTTCGCTCACATGATTGGCTCCTCTGTCTTCAGGCTTGAATTTAAAGAGCCATCTTTCATTGATATCCTTCCTAAGGGCCTTGACTAATAGGTTTCCCCCACTCCCTTACCCACTACCTTGTCTCTGTCACCCTCCTTCGCTTCCTCACCAGCATTTCTAGTTATAGTTTTATTTTCTTGTTGATTGTCTCTCTCCTCTGATAGGGCAAGGACAAAGCCTATGTCCCCAAGGTCCCGCAGAGGGCCTGACACATAGACTAGACATTTAGCACATGTACAAGGAAGGGAAGCGAAGGCGTTCGCCCATGTCCTCACTGTTAGAGGGTATCGTCAGCATTCTAACCGGGCTCTGCCTCTTTCCACAGGCGCCCGTGCTCCTGTGAGCATGCTCAGAGGTGACCTGGTGACTGCCCACGCCCTGCACTGTTTCTCCCTCAGCCCAGGGGCTCACATGGGGCTCAGCCCTTCTTTACTAGTAACTCCTCTCCCAGGTCCTCTGGCTTCTGCTTGCCTATCTCCAGAGCACAGGCTGCTGACCCCACCGTCCACTGCAATATTAGAAGGTTCTGCCCCGCCCCTGTGGCTCAGTGGTTGAGTGTTGATCCATGAACCAGGAGGTCCCTGGTTTGATTACCAGTCAGGGCACATGCCCGGGTTGCAGGCCCAATCCCCAGTAGGGGGCGGGCAGGAGGCAGCCAATCGATGGTATTTCTCTCTCATAGATGTTTCTATCTTTCCCTCTCCCTCTCTCTCTCAAAATCAATAAAAACATAATAAAAAAAGAACACAACTCTCTCTCTCTCTCTCTCTCTCTCTCTCTCTCTCTCTCTATCTATCTATAACCTTCTGGACGACAGAACAGGCTGTTCTTCACCATTCTCATATGCTGAAGAGGAAGAGTTTAAACTGTGACAATGTATTTTTCTGTTTATTTCCTGAGCCCCAGCCCTGGGCCAGGCCTGTGGTCACAACGTCGAGAGCAAAATAGCCTTGGAGGAGGCCTTCGCGATGACGTTGAAGATCTGTGATGGCCTTGGAGCCGCAGCGCAGCCCCGGTGCTGGCGGAGGGGCACGTGCGTAGACCCGAGGCCTCTGAAATCTCATCGGGCTTGCGCATCACCTGGGCGCTCAAGACACAGACTCCAGTACCAACACCTGGACCGAGAGCCCGCGTGTCTCGCCAGCGCTCAGGTGAAGCTGCTGCGGCGGCGCACGGACCACACTTGGAGGAGCGGGGTGCAGGCCCAACTGACCTCGGAGGACAGTGCGGCGCAGAGTGAGTACGGGGCTTGCCCAGGGTCCCCTGGCCGGGCGGCAGGGCCCGGGCGGGACCGCCGACTCCCCTCCCGGGGCCAGGACTCAGGAATTGGCAGCGCAGGCCGCTCAGTGTGCCTTTGTGCGCGGCATACCTGAGCTCACCCGCTGCCCGGCCCGGCCATGAATAGCGGGCCTCTTTCCTTCCTGCCCCAGGCCGGCGGGTGCGCCCATGGCCGCCCCTCCCCTGCACACACACTCACACACCCCGGCCGGCCGGCCCGGCCCGGCTGCTCTCCCTGTTTGGGGAAAGTCAACAAGAGCATTTGAAAAGTCTTTCTGTGTGGAGAATCTGTTTGTATAGGGGGAGGAAACGGCGAGCTGGCCAATAGGTAGAAATATTAATGAAGCTTGTTATAAAGGGCCCATTCACGGCTCTCCGGGTAAATAGGGCTCTTGTCGGGCTGCCACGTTATCTGCCAAGTTCAAGAATGTGGTTTGAAAAAATAGAATTTAAAGGGGTGAGGTGGAGCCTTAAATGGCCGGCCTGCTGGCGCTGGAGCCAAATACAGAGGAACCTCGGCTGGGGCTGGGGGCGCGGGGTGCTGGGCGCTGGTCCTGGTGAGGGGCTGCCAGGGACAGGGCTGGGGGAGGGGGCCGCCGAAGAGGTGGGCTCAGAGAGTCCTGCGCGCTGGCGTGGACACCGTGCAGAAGGCCTGGTGCCCTCCCTTCCTCCCTGTGGTGTCTGGCCCACGGCTTGCAACTCTATTCAGCCCCCGACCCGGTGGTGGTGGTGCGGATCAGCAGTGGGGCAAGGCTGCAGGGCCATTTCAACCTGAGCGCCTCCAGGAATCTTACCCCGTGGGGTCTTGGTAATGGAGGCTCTAGGTGGCCGGATGAGGGCTTTTTAGTAACTCTCAATCACATGCTGCTGCTCCACAAACCTCGGCCATCGTCTCTCGCCTACCGTGTTCTACTTTGCGAATTGTTACCCAAACAAGACCTGAGAAAGAGCATAGAAGACTGAGACATTCAACCCACTCACTTCCCATGGGGCAAATTCTGGGCTCAGAGAAGGAGAGTAACCAACTCAAGGTCACTCAGCAAGTCTTTAGCAGAATGGGGCCTTGCTTCCACCAGTTTCCTGTTGGGCCAGGTCCCCAGGACTGAGGGTGGTGCCTGGCCCAGGGGCGTGGCTTGGTCACTTCACATGCACCATGTCTTATTTTTAGCCCTGGGCTTAAAGCAACTTATCAGCAAGGGTCCTGTCTTATCCCCAGTTTGCCCCTGGCCAGCTGGGGGGCCTTGGGCAGGTGAGTTTGCCTCTCTGAGCCTCAGCTTTTCTTTCCATTGTAAAATGGGGTCACCAAGACCTGCCCCTCCCACTTAGAAGAGGCAGTCAGAGGATGTTGGTGAGGTGCCCAGCGCGGTGCCAGGCTCTCGGTGGGTGGCCCAGGAACAGTGGCTACGGGCGTTTCTTTTTCTGTCCCGGCCTGTGGCACAAGGTGGTGTCTCCAGGAGGCCTGGGCTCTAAGCTTCAGGGGGTGGTTCCACTTGGGTCATGGAAGGCTGCCTTGTGCTGAGGGTCACAGAAGCTGGTGATCGGAGGACAGCAGGCAGCACGGCCACACTGGCGTGTGAACTGTCTTGAGGGTCTGCGAAGAGGCCCTGCAGGCGCTGTGGCCAGCAGCTGACCTTCCGTCTCCTCCCCAAATAGCTGCTCACATCCCTCTCTGAGAGACAAGGGTTAACCTGTGTGTGGGGAGAACATTTACGTTGGCTTTTCTTTGCAAATAAAAGGGGGGAAATTCCTATAAAGCAAAAAGGAAATAATCAATGCAAAAACTAAATGGAAACACTTTCTGAAAGGCTTTGCCAGGAAGGAGCTTGCTGTGTAACCTTGAACACTGGGGACTTGGAGATTTGGAAAGCAGGAAGTCGGCAGCATCCCTTTACGGGGAGGTGGTAGGGGGTATTGTCACAACCATAGGCTTTGGGACTCACAGACCAGGGTCCCCCTGGACTCTGCTCCTCACTGGCTGTGTGACCTTGGGCAATAGATGGAGCTCTCTGGGCTTCCATTCTTTGATCTGTACAAGAGAAGAGAGGGTTAAAGCGTGTGAAGGTCCTGGCACATCGCGGATGCTCATTAAATGTCAATTTCCTTTCCTTTCTGGGCCTCTTGGCAGGCCGAGGGGAAGTGTCTGACAGGTCTCACCAGCCAGACCTGAGAGAGACACAGCTCTGCAGGCCTCGGCGCCTACACAGCAGCTGGGCAGCCCAGTGCTGACTATGTCTTCACAGCCCTTTACAGTTTGCAAAGCACTTGCCTCCTCCCCATCAGAACCTCCCGAGAAACCTGTGAGGTGAGCAGGGCAGTGTTTACCACCCAATGCATAGAGACTGGGAGAGGGTAAGGGACTCAGACCCAGAGTTCTTGGACTGGGCCCACATCTCTCCCCATCTCTTCATTTCTTCAGCAAATACTGGTTCACAGCTTGTTAGTGCCAGGCACTATGTTGAGCACGGGGGATACAAAAGCAAATAAAACCAGACACGGATGGATGATGGATGGGTGGGTGGGTGGATGGGTGGATGGATGGATGGGTGGATGGGTGGATGGATGGATGGGTGGATGGATGGATGGGTGGGTGGATGGATGGGTGGATGGATGGGTGGATGGGTGGATGGATGGATGGGTGGATGGATGGATGGGTGGGTGGGTGAGTGGATGAAGAATGACCAGTTTCTTGAGGGCAGCTTCCTTGTCTATTCTTTCTACCACAGGGCCCCCAACACTGAGGATGGCGCCTTGCACAGAGGAGGTGCTCACACTTGCCATACAAAGTTATGGGCTCAAACACCAGGCTGCCTTTCTACACAATTTCCTAGCTACGTGATTCGGGGGAAGTTAATTAGCCTCTGACGACCTCAGTTTCCTCCTCTGTAAAACAGGGATGACAGTATGTTATAGTTTGTCATGATAACTACATGGGTTAATATGTGAAAAGCCTGTAGAACAGAACCGTGCCTGGTGCAGAAGTACCAACTAAGCATCAGTTATTACTGTTTCTGGTTTCCCTTCTAAACTCCTTCCTGTCTCCTAAAGAGGATGGGAAATCCTCTGAAGGCGGGGCTCTGGGTCCTCTGCGGGAGGGGGGTACCTCCTAGTAAATGTATCGCCTCAGAGAAGTGACAGTCCTGAATCCAAACCAAGGCCAGAGAATCGGGGTGCGTGTTCCAGTCGGGCCAAAGGCAGAGCCGGCCCTGCCTGAGGGAGGCAGGATGGCAAACCGGTCAGAGCTTTGGGCTGGGCAGTGAAAGGTCACATCGCTCTTCTGGCCCTGCCATGGCCCTCCCCTCGGAGCCCAGCCTTCTTTGAGCCTGGGTCTCCCCAGTGAGACATCCAGGGAGATGGTCTTCTGTGAACCCTTCAAGTCACAGACTAAGACCACATTAATCAGGCAATCTTCGGCTCCTCATCCCCAATTTTCCCTTCTTTGAACGGATTTTTCCGAATCGGAAAAACTGAGCCTTTGCTAGCCTTGGAACACACACGCGCTCTCTCTCCTCTCTGAGATGCTGTGTCAGCGTCAGCTCGTGGTTGAGGATGGCACCAGATGGAGCGCTCATTAACGCCCGCCCCCGAGGAGCAGCCCAGGGTCCCCCCGGGTCACCTCCCCAGAGCACACAGGCTGAGCTTTCTCTCGAGGGCCGCTGGCGGTCCCACCTTGTCCTGGCCCTGCGATTTATAGGAGCCAGTGGTTGACACCAATCCCCGCCCGGCGTGGGCTCGTGGGCCCGTGGGCTCCATCAGACGCCAAGAGCCACAGAGACAGCTCCCGCCCGCTTGCCCCTCACTCTGTAAGTGAGTCACTGGGGTTTGGAGTGGGCCACTCTGGGGGTGGTTCCCTGTTGGAATAAGACAGTCACCCTCAAACAGAGCAGGCAAAGATGGCATGCCAAACCCTTAGCTTGGCAACGCTTCTACCCAGAGGGCATAAGACATCTCCCTTCAGCCAAGGAATTGCAGGCACTCGGGCTGGCATAGCCCTCTGGGAGTCAGGAGCCCAACTCCTGCAGGTTGAGAGGGGAAGACAGAGGCATAACCAGAGGGGGCAGTGGACGAGGCCACGGTCACACAGCAAGTCAATGGCAGAGCTGAACCCTGGAGACCGGGTTCATGGACCTCCCATGCTGAAGGAAAGGCAACAGCTGAGGGCCCCCCCCCCCCCCGGCTGCTAAAGCTGACCCCTACCTGGTCTCATGGGAGCCAGGTGGGTGCCTGAACATCTGGTTTGGGGGACAGATTCCTGGGTCTCCAGTTTGATGCCCCTTTTGTGTGACAGAAAGAGAAAGGGGTGTGGTATAGGAGAAAGGTCCGAACTTGGCAGTTGGACACACCTGGGTACTAATCTTGGCTCTGTCAGTTACTGACACAGTGATCACAGGCAAGTTACTGGACCCCTCTGAGCCTCAGCTTACTCATCTACACAATAGGCTAACATTACCACCTACACGGTGGGCCATTGGGAGGATTGCATGATATCAAGTGACTGGCATACCATAGGCGCTTAATAAACGGTAACTACCACATAGCAATGAGTTCTGCCCAAACTGGCTAGGGCAGCCTGAGTAGAGGGTGTGACTGGGGCAGGACCCAGGCATTTTAGGTGATAGGGTCACATGCAGGACCACCCTTGACGCACAGGCAGAAGAGCCCGGAGCTGAGAGCCTGGTGGCCTGCCTGAGGCACCATCTTGTTGGAGAATTACTGGGAAGGTCTCCCCACTCTCCAGGACTCAGTTTTCCCGTCTGTACAATGGGCATTGAACCAGAGGACTGAGGTTACTGCAGCAGACTCCAGGCTGGCCCTGCTGTCAGGGTGAGGGCAGCCCCACATCGGAGCTGTTCCCTGCCTACAGGACATTGTCTGAGGAGGTAGAGACCCAGTGCAGGGCATGTGGGACAGGAGGTGGGTGAGTGAGTGGGTGGGAAGGAGGAACCAGGCTGGGCTGGACC